GTTGGCGTGTTCTTGGTCGCCCTTCTCCAGCGCGGCCAGGGAGCGCCAGATCTGATCGTGAACTTGCTGCAGTTTGACGAGAGTCTCCCTCAGACTGCTGACGTCGTCGCCGTGGAAGTTTATGAGGTCTTCAACCTGTTGCATGCGCTCTTTCTGGTCGTTGATGCCGGCTCGTAGCGCCGCGACGTGCTGCTGCATCTCCCCGTCCAACCCCGCCACCCTCCGCTCGAGTTTCCGCACGCGTCGGTTCCTGTCCTTACGCTTCTTCTCGCCCCGCTCTTTCTCTCTCTCCCTCCCCCTTTCCTCCTTCTTCGCCTCCCCTTCTTCTGCGGCCGCCTGTATCACGCACGACAAAGCTGCCAGTACGACGACAACGGCCACGACAAACACACGACAGCTCACCATCTTTCCCGACTGTTTTACAACGTTTTAAAACACGATCTCGTTTTTGTATCAGTCCACGTTTAGAACAGGCACGGACGTTATGCCACAAAGAGTATACTAGTATACTACACCCGCGCAGCTGGCCTTGTATACCCTGGAGCGGTGTCGCACGACTGGTCAGGCGTGAGAACCAATGACAAAACTCGTATCATCCCCCACAATGATGAGTCATTATACGGGCTATAGGTCACGCACCCATTGTAAGAACCTGTCACACACACAAGTTTCTCTCTACAGTGAAAGAAAACAACAACTTCCTTTCGGATGTTTATATAACCGTTTTTCGTGGAAAAGGATGTGGGCTGGGGCAGGAAACGATTGATAAGTTTCCAGGGGAGCAGTCCCTTGGAACTAAAGTAAAGATCAGCATTGAATTTGTGACTTCCTGTATCACTTTTCCTAACTCCAATATTAGATCACTACTTCAACTACTACTACTAGTAGTACTACACATACACGTAGTAAGGCCTTCAAACTCCTACCTATAGTGGCTAGTTTTACATGGATATAGATGCGAGTGTATGTCCAATATATGGCATTACCGCTCTTTATAAGAGTAGGAAAAAGTGTTTGTCACAATATTTTGACATTGAGATTCCACTTGATATTGTTAAATTTTTTTTGTAAAAAGAGACGCTGCAACAAGCCGAAAATCCCAGAAATTTTGCTTTACTTCCAACGCTTGGTTGGAAGCAGAGACTATTGCCCTTGATAGAGCTGGCTGGAAGTACCTGACGGAGGGGAGCAAGGGGCCAGTACCTGGCCTGTGCATATAGGCAGGGCCTGATCTCGCGTCTTGGCTTGACAAACCGACTCGAAGATTGCTATCAGTGACACGCATACCTGTGTACAGGTAAACTCTCTCTGGTACCTGGTACATGTGCCTGCATGTGTCACGCCAACTGTATCCCCAACTGACGGTATTCTGAGAACCTCCTACCCTTTTTGTCTTGTAGTTAGGGGTGCTGACTCAGGATGGCAGGCCCTCACTGTGCGTGTGTCCTTACACCTACACAATGTATTTCCTCACTCGAGTCATGTGAAAATGAGTACCTAGCTTCCATTAGGGGCGTCCTCTTGGATGGCACACAAGCACACAAGCAAACATGTAACGTTACACAGATACCACACACACATGCAAGCACACAATGTCATGTAAGGCCATGTAACGTTACACACACACACACACACACACACACACACACACACACACACACACACACACACACACCACACACACACAAGCACACACACAAGCACACGCACACCACACACAGAAAAACTCACAAAGCGGGTGATGCTTTCCAGACAGTTGAACACTCTAAACCTCGGGATAACCAAACTAACGTTTCACCCCTCAACATGGGTCACTACACACGAGCCAGCTTAACTGGAAAGCCCCCAAATCCCCTTCAACTCCAATCAAAACATGTTGTAGCTTCACCGCTTCCTTTATTTGCACACGCTCATCCAAGCACATATACTGTTCAACGACTAGCTTCATTTGTAGCCTTCTTCGTGCCCAGAAATATAGTTGCTATTCTTGTTGAAGTTCGATCATAATGGTAAAATGCATCTACACATACTATCATATGATAGAACGGAGAGTGCGTTTTACTTTAGACAAATGATTTCTTGGCATAGAAATGCGTCGTCGAATGTTTGAAATAACAAGTACTTGACGTAAGATATGACAAGTGGACATCGGAAGTTCAAGAACGCTTGGAATGCGTGTTTCGTGTGACGCACCGATTAAGTAGATGTTAGCACCCTTGCATTAAGACCCTGTCACACACAGCTGAATATGACCTTCCGAACGCTGCCTAACTCCTAGCCTCCATGACCTCCATAGCATGCCAAAAACTGGGGGTTTCGGGGGTACGTCTTCAGGGTCTTTGGGATCTTTTATGTGCTATTTTCCGAGTATAGACAACACAGCCGGCCTGGTTGAATTACCCCCGTTTTTAGAACTGGGCTAATGATACAGAAAACAGCCGAAGACCACCAAAACCCCCAGTTCTATAAGCCTGCTACGGAGGCTACCTGAATAAACTCCCCACAACCATGGTTGAGCGTCGGTCGGGAGCAAGGTCGGCTGTGGTTGGCTGGTGTTCGGCGAGGTCGGCGAAGGAAGGTTGGGCCACTGTTGGCTGGTGTTGCGGGGAGTAGGTCAGTAGTATTGGGGGGAGGTCAAATTTGACAAAGTTTTAACTCAAATTCGATTCGTACAGATGGGTAGGCGTGGCCTAAATTTGGTCAGGCTGCTCCCGAACTTCGGCCAACCTTGGTTGGTGCGTACGTGGTTTGGGGGAAAGTTCTGAATGTGTGACATGGGCTTGAAGTAGATGTTAGGCCACAGTAAGTAAATTTTATGGATGGCATCCTCCGCAGACTCCAAATCTAATGCGATAGGGCAAAAAAAACGGGGGGGGGGGCAAAACAAGATTCCTACATTTTCAAATTTTTACATCATAAACCTTGTTAAACAAGAAACGATACATACATTGTGCAAAATTTTCTGCCAACTATTACAACATCCATTTGTTACGTTCAAAAATAAAAGTTTTCAATCATTGTACAAATGGTTTTGATTCAGTGGGAACATCGTGTAAAAGGAATGAAATACATCACTGCATCAAGTCTCCTCTTTTCGTATTCATCTGCCATCCACCTTCAGGCATGGCAACAGGCATCATAATTGTCCATTTTCGGCATGTTGACCACTGTCAGAGGGCAACAAAATTTCTTGTGTTTTTTTTTTTCAAAATCAGGCGAAAATTAATGCGCGCGCTGATGTCATCCATACAATTTACTTGCTGTGGCCTTAGCCCCAGGCACTAGATAAACACACTACAGTAAGGCCATGTTGATTTGATTATATGGATGACATCCTCTGGGAGCCCCAAAACTGATGCGCGCGTGCGAATAAAAAAAAAGTTTTGCAAAAAAAAAAGTTCTTTTCATTATGAAATCTAGGTGGTCATCAGGGTTGAGCAAATGGCACAGAATATGGTTTAGCGAATAATCTAGTCTTCTGGTTCATTTCTTTACAATTTCGTCTTTTTTCGTTTGATTTTGGCATTCTACGACATTGGTATAGTTTTTATTGATTTTTTTGTAACTTATAGTATATTTTTGCTCATTTTGCAACTGTTTTGTACGATTTACAGTATGGTTGAAAACTTTTTTTTTTTTGAAACGGCCGAAAATTCATGTCATCCATATAATCAAATCAACATGGCCTAACTGCAAGTCACACTAGCGACAGTAACGTTACACTGAGATGCCCTCAGAATGTTTCATACCACCGGGAACGCCAGGAATGTTTTGCTGGGTTGGGTCAGTGGTTTCAAGCTTGCGTGCGCGGAGTGTTTGCATCCTGTTGTGTGTAAACTGTCGTCACTGTTTGTAGTAAATCGGTTCCTTATTGCGAAAGTGTTTGTCCTTGGGTTGACCGAAAAGCTACAGTTACTCATGAATATACATGCCGTCATGTGTCGGTTCAGTTCGCTTGAAGAGGAAACTACGAGATGGTTTTCACTTTCTGAGAAGAGTTCAGTACCTCCGTATTAAAGGGGCTTGTGTTATATTCGTCTATCAGAAAATGTTTGCCGACTTTTTCCAGCTGCCTCCCGAAGCCTGACGGAGGCTAGTGTGTCATGTCTATCCTCACATCTTATATTAGCCTCTACCAGGCTTCAGAAGCAGCTTGAAAGAGTAGAAATAGGCCAAAATACGGAATTTGGTCCGCTATTATTAAAAGGTCTACAGTTTGCCGCTCCCAAACTGTACTCCTTTAGCGGACCAACTCCCCTGGCATGTTATCTGTCTATGTGGCCAATTTCTACTCTTTCCAACCGCTTCTAAAGCTCGGTAGAGGCTATATTTCTGTCATTGTGTGTCCTTGGGCCTAGGAACATAATTTTGTTTTTCATGTTTCCCGACCGGCCCTAGAAAAAAACTGCCGACCCTAGCCTTTTTTGTGTGAACCCCTCCCCTGCAATGAATTTTTCAAGCTGATCGACCTTTTCTAGCTCAATGATTGTACAATACGGTTTCCAACATTGATATTGAAAATCAAAGTGTCCTAATGCAAGTTTTACTTTATTATGTTAAACTGTATTGCAAAAGTTGGATCACTACTGATCCCCAAAGTATAAAAAAAAAGAAAAAGAAGAAGAAGAAAAAGAAAATCCCTACCTACCGACCCTAATTCTTTTCAGAGCTAAAACAGGAAACATAAGGCCACACCAATTTAATTTCTTGGTTAATGGATTCGCCAGCTTCATTTTCTTCTGATTTGCAAAAAAAAAAAAATCATAATCAACTGCAAAATGCTCATATTTTGCCCTGAACAGTTGAAAACAGTCCTTTTCTTCCTAGTTGTTAAAGTTGTTCCATCTTTCAATGCAGTGGTATCATTAAAAGTTAAAAATTCATTGTTTAAATTGTTGACTTCATGGCTCCTATCGTACCATTTTGGGCCATAATAGGATGCCTAGGTCTGTTTTTTTTTTCGCCCGTCCGCTCCATTATTTTTGTACAAAAATCCGTTAACCAAGAAATTAAATTGGTGTGGCCTAATAACATTTTTCTTAGGCCTTATGGTAGCAGAACACAGTATATTAATGGGCGACCCCCGGGGGTCTGTGACGCGGGTATAGAAAGTATAGTAGTACAGCGAATATTCTTGAAGGCTGGGTAGAAAGCCTGATAAGAGCGTCAGCCGTGCTGTGTGGTGTAAGAATGTATCGGGGTTGAGACTGTATGATTTGAATTGTGAAGGTTTTGCAGTTCGTGTATAAATGCGCCGTATTGCGCAACTGGCTTTCCGGGTGAGTCGGCTGCAGTTCAGGTCACGTCCGTAGAGGGCGATTTCAAAGTGTACGTTACGAGCAGATACGCCGACAGGATTTTTGGGTTTCTAGATATTTTGTAGTTTGTACCTTCTTCTGAAACATATTCGATTTTCGTATTTGTGAAGTGCACCTTGCTATAATTTTTACCGCGTCGAAGTGAGTCATCTTGGGGTCCTTAACTATAGAAATCCCCATAGGGCGAAAACTGTGTTCTGCTACCTTATCGGTGAGTGTGCTGGGGAGGGGGGAGGGGGGCTGTGATTCTCATAGCAACTCGAACTCAAACTCCATGCCCCTGACAGCGATGGTCCGCAGGTAGTGGGAGTCGAACGTCCGGTCCTGCGCCACCGTGAAATGGTTGATCCAGTCCCCAACAACTCCTGAAACAGAACGCTAGATCTTAAAGCTACATCATGTAACATCATGGAGGTAAAAATCACATCGTAACATTAGGACAAGTATTTTATCAATACTAGAAGTAAATTTTTTTGTCATTTCTTTACAAAGTAACGTAAGTTGAAGCAAGTCCCTACTACATTGCAAATAAGTGCCATTCGGGAATTGGAGGTGCCAAAATATGATGCCTTACGAGTGTGTTTTAAAGTTGGAAATGCTTCTGTCAGACATGTTTGTTTACATTCTGGTATTTTGTGGTGGCACCCCAAACTGTGCATCATGTAGGCTGTGCATCATGTAGGCATGTAGGCTCATCAGACGAATATTTTCTTGAATAAAATATTTCAATTTTTGATGCAAAAATGTTACATAATGCCCCTTTAAGGACAAAGGAAGCCTCCTGGTAGCTGTAGAAAAATATAACGATATATCATGGAGTTGGCTACGTTTTGAATATGAAGTAAAGTTACTATATGCATGTAGGATCACGTAAACATCTCCAAGCAGATACTAAAAGGAAAATCGTATCAGGAGTCTGTGCCTTGTATGCATGTGGCATTTTATGTAAATTTGTAATAGTTGTAATTGATCTCTTATGAAGTTGTACCGAATGCCTTTTACAAACTCCAAGAAGAGTATCTTTTGTAATGAACAGGGAACGTACAAGGAGGTTTACACGTTCGAATACCACGTATACGTACTGAGTACACCGCATTGCGCAAAATCCCCACCAATCAGCTTTAAGTTTTGAAAATTTGCGGGTAATTTGAAGAGCGCGCAGTGATTGGTCGATGAAGAAGGAAGAAGACCTATTCTATACTTCAAGCTAAGTACAGGTCATGAATAAACAGAAAAAAATTACAGTAATATCTTACTTAAGACTATACGTGAACTACTATTTACAGGTTCAACTCCTTCTCGCTTCTTGAGACGGTTGTAATACCTTTTCTCTACTCTCCAAGCAGAGGTTGTGGGGGAATGATCGTTAGCTTATCATACATGTATGGCCCTTTTTGTCGCTACTTGGGTTGCGCATGGACCGTCTCTGGCCTATTGGATATACTGCCTGGCCAATTTAGTACTCTATTTTTGAGACCCTAGGATCTGCTTGGAGATTACCTTTTCTCATGAAGTGAGACTTGTCGTTGTTGAAGACCATGGGGACCTTGGAGCCGTTGGTCATGGGGTTAGACTTCATGGCCTGGAAGGTGCAGTGACTGGCGATGAGCTGTACTCCGGGCTCACTCAGCTGTCTGCCGAGAAACGCCGCCATCTGTCTGATGGTCCCCGGTAAATCCTGTCACGGGGGAAACACAAGTCGTTCATCTATATAGAACAAGGCTGAGGCAATAAAAACCATTGCCAAGGCGACGACTGAATGATATATATTATTTCATGTGGTGGAGCTAGCAATCCACATCACAATTATAAGAAAAACAGATTTCCCTATCTTATAAACGCATGCATGTAGTGAAATTTACAGGATGGGTGGAGGAGGTGTGGGCAATATACCAAATACAGGTATAGGAGGAATCAGTCGTTCCTCTCCAGCAATATAGATTTTATGATGACATACTTACTTACTTTACTTTGGTCGAGTTCCCGCTCGAACTAAACTTAAAACCATCCTCCACTCCACTTCACTCTATCCTCCACCAGAGGCTGGATTTTACGTCTGATCTGAAGTTGTTACTCCTAGGACTTGTTTGACCTTTTGTGGGTCCCCAAAGGACAGATAATTTCTTTTCTCTGTGTGATCTGTTGGAATAAACCCACCCACACTAGCCTAAATGTTATTGGGGAGGGAATGTCAGATTCCTGATCAAGTGCGGTTTTTGACCAAAGACAGCTGTGCTCTCTGTCCATGGTGTGGGGAGAAGACAGATGACCAGTGATTAATCATGCCAGGCAGCTTGATGGATGGCACGTGGGCACCGGGTGTAAGTTACCTGCTTGGTCCAAAAACCACATGGCCGAAGGTTACCTCAGAACCAATTCCCTAGGGAATGCATTCGTGCAATTTCAAAGCGATCGTAGTACTTGCACAAATGCCTCCGCCCCAAAGGCGTCGCCAAAAAATCCAAGACCATAGCATGTTCAGGACAAAAGATACAAAAAACGGAAGTACTGCTGCAGTACGACCTACCGACATACCAAATATCATCACAATCCATGAAGGCGTTCTGAAGTTATTCTGACTGCAAATGTGCGGAAACACAGACAGACACACACACACAGACACGCCAAAAACAATACCTCAATTTTTCATGCAGGTAATAATGACTCAATAATAGTGGTGTGGGGAAGACATATTGTTTTTCCTCGTGTTTCTTCTCATCCTTATATATTCTCCTTCTCCTGTCATTTCCTTAAATGGATTTAAATTCTTCATTTTTGGGTGAAATGACATTATGTTGTGGCTAGGACCTGGGTGACTCATAAGAATGGTATGCATGAATAGCAAGAGCCAATAGGCATGCAGCGCTCCTCCATTCCTGTTGCTGATTGGCTAATGGAATTTGCATTTTGCTTAATTATAGGATGCCATTCAGTGTTTGAACGAACCTTCTTCATGTCTTCGTATCTGACGATGAGGATGTTGTCTTTCCGTCGGTTGGCCCACACATCCAGCACGTGTTGGTACCACGACCCCCACACAACTGGAAAACAACATTGTACGAACATGTACCGTCATATAAGTAAAAAATACCTCTGCAGTTCCAGTACAAGCTACTTGGGAAACTCATGTCACTTCTTCCTGAGTACAAGAGCTATCTACCATGCAAAATCTGTGACCGCAGCATGTCCTGATCATGACATATCAGAACCGAACGTTTCCTGCAGTACCATTACAAGCCGCCAGGTGGCATAAAATCTCATCATTTCGAGGTTCCGAGAAGACCTTATTTTACCACCTGAAATATATCAAACTTATTATAGGCTTTCTCGGGGTTAAGAAGGCGACAGTGGTCGTTGAAAATCTTTTCCTTGTATGTTGGAATAAAGTTCAACATCGTGCTATAATTACTTCTAACACAAAAGAACTTTCAAGATGAGTGGAAGAACTGACGTGTTTTCAAAATACCGACCGTTACCGGACATGAATTCTGACAGAAACTGGTCCCAGGCGCCTGGATCCGGATGAACCCGGCTCATCCTGTGGAAGTGGTAGTACGACACCACTACGTCCTTAGGGTTCCGGGCCACGTAGATTATCTACAGGTTACAGGTCATCATAAAAATAGTTACAGAAGACTATCATATGAGAAATCCTCCTAGTCATGCCTTCAAGTACAAGAGGTATAAACCAAGGATCAAGGTGTTCAAAAACCCCTTTCGACTGTCAACTTACGCGTAGAGGCTCTGGTTTATTGTTTTGCCTTTTTAATTACTTTGATGAAGTGAAGAATATAATTTCTTTTATATGTGATGGTGGCTGTATATATATGAAGTTACCACTTAATCAAAACCATTTGTACACTATGATGATTGAAAATTTATTTTTCAAGTTATTTCAGTGAGAAATGAATGCTGTAATAATCGGCAGTAAACCTAGCACAATATGGGCATCATTTTTTAAACAATGACAATAACAAGGTTTATGATGTCAAACTTTGAAACTGTATGAATCTTTTTTTTTGGGGGGGGGCTTGTTTTGTTTTTCGCCCTATCGCATTAGATTTGGAGATTTGGAGGATGTCATCAATAAAATGTATTTGATGTGGCCTTACCTTTGTTCCGTTGTCCCGGACCCCTGGCGGCAGCATGCTGTACCGCAGGTGCGTAGCGATGAGTCGAGGAGAGGGCATGTCTCCTAGAATCTCTGCGTAGGTCTTGCCTTTGAGGCATCCAATGAAATTCCAAGGAAGCAAAACAAAACAAAAACTAGATAGGTAACATTTACAAAGCAAATGCGTAATGTTTACTTTCACATATAGTCTGCTGTGTTAATTCTTACTCTAACACATACATATGGTGACAGGAGTCTAAATCCCTCCTGCTATAAAATTGCAACATGATGTAACCCAACACTAGTTACCATGGTGACAGACGTATGGTTCAGGTCATTGACCTTATTTGTTTGGAGAATAATAAGAGGAAGAAGAAACAGAGCAAAAACAATATGTTTTCCTACTATTCTGTATGTGGAAATCTGTATGATATTGACACGTACTACCATTTCTTGCCATTTTCGTCATCATTTCATACTTGAAATAGCCCCCTACATAAAGAGTTCCTTTATTCATGGCACCACTAAAAGCACCAGCATGTACGATACGAAAACAAGCAACCATTTTCCATCAGCGACATCGCATTTTTGCCTCACAGACCTCACTATTCTATGGGATATTGTTGATTCAACGTACTACATTTAAAAGAAGATCAGCAAAAATCCAGTTTTACCACCTGAAATCGCATTGGATGCTTTTTAGGATTTGTGAGAGAGACCGCGGTTGTAGTAGATTTGTAAGTTAGAGTTATAGACATAAGGCCACACCGCCTTAATTTTATGGATGACATCCGCGCGTGCATTGATTTTCACCTGTTCTCAAAAAAAAAAAAAAGGATCACGTCCTCCGAGGCTCTAGGCCTGGGTACTCCATGGTAGTTAGCGACATTATGGAGCCGGTGGTTAACTCTGGAGGACTGCACCCAGGCTACCGAAGCTCCACGATGGCAAGAACTCAGTACATACGTACAGTGCCGATTCATAAATTCCGCAAAAATCCAGCATGTGCCGGCTTATCGTACATCGCTATGTACTGCCGCAAATTCACAACACCAGCTTTGTATTCCTGTGGTTTAGTAGCATTCTTATTTTCGGCCGGAATTTTTTTATTCGCCCGCGCGCACTAGTTTGGGGGTCTTCAGAGGATGTCATCCATAAAATTAAGACGGTGTGGCCTATTAGATATTGATATCATACAATCGACTTCTTCTTCTATTGACACACATTCTTTTCAAAATATGAATGCAATGCTACAAAGAGGAAACTATGAATTGGTGCTAATAGGTGCTCAGAAAATTGAAGTACATGTACACCGTCATAAAGCGCCCCCTACCGTGTTCAATGTGCATCACCTCCAGGTAGGGGACGTGTGTGAAGAGAGGAACTTTGTGTTTGGTGATGTTCGCGTTGTTTAGGATGAGCGTCACAACCTCGTACGTCCAGTTCAAACCTTGGATTAAACAAAAGAAAGAAAGAGTGTTTTTCATGTATTTATACGTAAGCTTCTAATTCAAAGGTGGCCAAGATGGGAATAGCTGCTTGGGTGGTGTGAGTGTGATGACGATGTGTGACTTCAATAATTGGTCACCTCGGTAACTTGAATTGGACTAATGTTAATATTAGAATGGACTTTGCAGTGGAAACTGTGTAACTACTTGTTTCCTCCAGTCTATCCCCCTTGACATTTTCTAGTTTGTCTTTCATATGATAATGTATCCGACACCACTCACTCACTCACTCACTCACTCACTCGCTCACTCACACTCTCACTCACTCACTCACTCACTCACTCACTCACTCACTCACTCACTCACCCACACTCACTCATTCGCTCGCTCACTCACTCTCAATCCCTCATATGATAATGTATCCGACACCACTCACTCACTCACTCAGTCACTCAGTCACTCACTCACTCACTCACTCACTCACTCACTCACTCACTCACTCACTCACTCACACTCACTCATTCGCTCGCTCACTCACTCTCAATCCCTCATATGATAATGTATCCGACACCACTCAGTCACTCACACTCACTTATCCGCTCGCTCACTCACTCTCAATCCCTTACTCCTAACTCACTAACTCTCTCACTCACTCACTCACTCACTCACTCTTTCTCTCATTCACTCACCCACGCACTCACTCACTCACTCCTCACTCACTCGCTCACTCACTCGCTCACTCACTCGCTCACCCACTCATTCACTCACCCACTCACTCACCCACTCACTCACTCAATAACCCCTCACTCACTCACTCATTAACTCTTTCTCTCACTCATTCACTCACCCACTCACTCACTCACTCACTCTTTCTCTCACTCAGTCATTCACTCACCCGCTCACTCACTCACTCTTTCTCTCACTCATTCACTCACCCGCTCACTCACTCACTCACCCACTCACGCACTCATTCACTCACTCACTCACTCGCTCACCCACTCATTTACTCACCCACTCACTCACCCACTCACTCAATAACCCCTCACTCACTCACTCACTCACTCATTAACTCTTTCTCTCACTCATTCACTCACCCACTCACTCACTCACTCTTTCTCTCACTCATTCACTCACCCACTCACGCACTCATTCACTCACTCACTCACTCACTTTCTCTCACTCACAAACATACCTGATTTGGGGTAGCTCACAATGACCACATCGTCTGGTCTCGTCTCGAAGTTCGTCAGTGCCTTCAAGCCCTCCGCCGGTACGATACCAGGGAAACTGACTCCATTGTAAATGTGGGGGTAGTTTTTGTTTCCTATGAACCCCAAAGTCCGTACAACACCCATTATGCCCAGTCCCGTGGGCAGATAACCGTCGTCTCCTGACATTGTTCTCAGCGCAGAATAAACAAATAAACAAACAAACAATAAACAATGCACCTCGTCACAGGTCTTGTCAATGTTGAACTTTGTCAAAAACTAAATCATAGGTACCGAAGCCATGGTCAAGGTACAAAACCACATTATCTAGAAAAGTTAAGGTGCCTTTCAATTAAAAAGCTAGTGAATTTCGAGTTCTTATGGTCCTTTTAAAATGCCAAAATAACTTCCAGAAGGTTTGCAGATGACACTCGCTCTTTCGGTCTGTGAGGATACCACGTCAAATCGTTTCCCACATCTGCAAGTCTTCGGTTCAAATCTGTAATTCCAGAGGGTAAATATATGATCAGGAAAACTGAAAGGTAGTGAATTATTTGATACAGCAGCTAATTGCTTTGTGACAGGACTGGCCAAAAATACCCAAACAACTTCATAATTTGGATTTTTGAATTTTGTATCTTTGAAGTTGAGAATGGTCGCTTCTGTAATTTTTTCCTCGTAAAAATAAGGAATTTTCTGTGTACTAGTATGGGCACCCTCGCGCATGAGAGCACAGACTCTTCTCAAGTGTACAGTGTAATACAAATTAAATCTATTTGCCGTCACAACAAAGACAAATTATTCAATTAAGCACACTTGGTGGACCGTCAATTAGCTTGTTTGAAGTCGTTTCACAAATTCAAATACACACAACATTTCTGTGATAGCTTTCTGTGCATGCCCGTAGCCAGGGGGGGTTCGGAAGAACCCCCCCACAAGGCTCAAAGGTCCACTTTTTGTGGAAGTTCATCGGATTTTTTCTTGGAAATCCTCTCAAATATGCACGAAATGCCATTTTAGAAGGTTCATTTTTCAAAATTTTCCCGGACCCCCCTAGGAACCTCGCGCCTTTGGCGCTCGCCTTGCGCCTACGCCGCTCGAGGTCCCCTAAAGCAGTGGGAAGAACCCCCCCCCCCATTCAAAATCCTAACTACGGGCATGCTGTGGCACGAATCATAGTCACATGGCACATGTACGTGAAGAGCTATATATACCTATCAAAACATATTGTAGGTTAAACTGGTTAACATAACACGAATGACAAAATACAGTTACGTTACCTTCATACAGACGTCACTTTCACTTGGCATGCAGAGACGTACATCTTCTTAAATCTTGAGAATGGCCATATTCTGTATCGAATTGTGAACCTTACACCAGTGATAGAATACGTTAATGGCATGTAGTAAGGCCGAATTCGAAGAATGTCTGAAATATTTCAGGCCACGAGGTTATACATGTCGTTAGCCTATACGTGTTCCTGTTCAAGTAGGGGTCATGTTAGGAGTTGTCTGTTCTTTAGCATATAGCCGGGTCAAATTGGGACAAAGTGCCCATGGCCATTGATAACAACTTTGAATTAAAAGTTCTGGTGAAAATACTGAATACATATGAACATTTTTATGACGCGCATGGCGAAGTTTTTTCAAGAAGATCTAGATATGCATCATTTTGGTGACAATCAGGTATTTGCCATTTAGGAGGTCGTTTGTAGAATTGAACATTATTAATGGACGATCCCTGGTTTAACAGAGAGTTGTTCAACGAGGTCTAGGTTTGGATATGCTGAATGAAGCCCTACGGGCAAGGAGCTCCCCATAACGTGTACATATCGTGTGCACTTTGGCCCTGCCAAGTCATGTGTGTCATGTGTGCCTGGCGAACTTCAATGCATCTAGCAGTTACATGTACTTGCAAACTAAGGTAGTTTGCACCTAAATCGCAAGAGGGCCTGTTGAAATTGCCGAATAAGTGTTTCCCAATGTGGGGCTAGGTTTTGTCCACAAGTTTTGGAGCAAGTTTCCAAGAAAGAAATTTTCCCCATCCTGCATCCATCGAAACCGTAAGATGTCTTTGATAATCAGAATATTCAATTGGAGATTTGAAAATAAGTGACTCCAGATGCAAAGATAGGCAGTACCTAAGGTAAGCGTAGAAGGTACAGAAGAAAGATAATTTTGTTATCTAGCTTTGTTTGTTTTGATGCCAAAGTTTGGTGGGAGGGGGGCATATTTTTAGATTTGTCGCTGATGTTATAAAATTCTATTCTTCGACCTTTCCTGATCATCGAAATGTTTTGAAAGAAAATAGATGATGCTATATAGTAACTTTGAAGCTTCTTGTGATCTCATGTGCTCCGTAGATATGACCAGAGTTCAACTTTCCCAGTAAAATAAAAATTTAGTTCAAAGCAACTCAACTCTCAGTCTCAGCCATTGCAACAACGAAATATGTAAATTGATGCAAAAATTATAATACAGAATTCATGTACGATTCTCTAGGCAAATTCAACAACTCATTTGTTTTTCACCCAGCAATTCTGAAGTACAAATTCTCAGTATCACTTGCAAGTTGCAATTTTTTTTATTAAACTTTAAAGTTAAAATTATTTTTTAACTAGAAAGACCAACATTTGCTCAAGAGCAAATGCAGCACATTTCACCCATTCTTCCTCCCCATTCCAAATTTCCCCATTCATCGTGCAAGCCATACCACCTTGTATTTGCTTGGAGATTTTCTTTCCATAGAACCCTGTATCAACTTGATTATCATATGTTTGATCACATTATCCCAGCAGCCAATCAGCAAGGAGAAACAACGTCCAATCTAAACATCTGTTGTATTTCCAGGTCATCGTGTGAAAACGCTGTCCCTCAAAAGGAGCCAGTATGTTGGCTGTTGTCTCCAAAGTCCTGAGCCTCATAACAGACCTCCACGGAGATTCGACAGACTCCTATTCGTCAGAATCGGAAACGGAGTCCTCTGCGTCGGATGACACCGATATAGCTTCAGCCATAGGAACAGCAGCTAGCGCCGCGAAGAGAAGGAACGGAAAGGAAGTTTCGTTGGAGTGGAACTTCTCCGGCGTGGTGACGCAGTTCTCCCACAACTGTGGACTGGTAGACGACACCGTATACTTCAGCAGGGGCGTAGTTCAAGGGTCGGAGGTCAAACTGGGTTCACCAGTATATGTAGGTTAAACCAACCCTTTTTTTTTTGGCTCCCTGCTTTATGCTGAGTATCATGTTTTTCTGAGTGTTTGACAGATGCATTACCATATGAATGGAAGCCAAGCAGATGTCAGAGGGGAAAAACTGGCTGAATGAAACAAGAAGTGACCACACCTAGCCACTATGTATTACAAAACAGAATTTTTGGTTCATATCATTGACCTTAATCAAATGACTTTCCAGAATCTGGAAGCGTGATGATGTCAAGAGTGAACTGTGATTTTGGTAGATTCCGTGTTTAAGCTACTTTTGATTCACTCTTGATGTCATCGCATTGTTTACAGAAAATGCTGGCTAGCCAGCTGGCTACCTGGGCTGGCTTGCCCCTCAGGCTACTCAGATCCCCCCCATTCATAAAGAATAATGACATACAGCACGTCGGCAGAACGTACTGCACCTGCGCAGAACCAGTAATGTATTGTACTTGGCACTTTGGCAGAACGTCTCATATGAGGTTGTATTTGCTCATGCATGGTTAGCATTCCGACAGTAGTTTTCAAATGTTATGTCGGAAAAGATGTCATCTGCAACAGGCAAAATTTTGATGCAACGTTGACCAAAAATCCAACGAAAACTGTGAAAATACAGGGTTCTGCGCAGGCGCAGTACATTCTGCCGACGTGCTATGACACACCTATGTACATGTAGCTGTGCCCTCTAGTGAAATGTATCGAAATTACTTCCATTCTACTGGGAACTGCTTAAAGCACTTCTGGATTCCAGAAAACTCAGTGCTGTAAATCAGTCATATCTGATGAAATTTTGAAAGTCGACAAGATCGACTGGAACATTCATGGCAAGTGTTTCTGTTGAACGTTTAACTTAGATTTTACAACTAAAAAGAAACGCTATTTTCCAGGTGACAGCAAAGCGAAGTAGCGCAACTGCGGGATGGCGTGCAGAAGTGGTGACGTTGATCACGTCCGCAGACTGGGGGGACGAGGAAGGAGGGATAACAGACCCAACAGTCGGAACAGTCACAGAAGTCACAGACAGCGCCATAGTGATCGACTATCTACATACAGTCAACATGGAGAATGCAGTGCATCATGGGTACAGGCCATGGAAGGGGGACTGGGTCAAAGCTGAGACATCAGAAGATGGAACGGTCCATTTAGAGCCATTAAGGTCGCAGATACTCACAGGTAATGACTGAAGGAAAGTGTCTTCAACTTAAAGCATGGTTACCAAACCTATTTTTTTAGCAGCTAAGTCTCATTCCTCCTCTCTGCAAATACACTCAGCAGCTACATTGTATGGCCACACCAATTTAATTTCTTGGTTAACGGATTTTTCTGGAAAAAATAATGGAGCAGGTGGGCGAAAAAAAACAAAAACAGGCCTAGGCATCCTATTATAGCCCCAAATGCTACAATACATGATTGTATGAGCCATGAAGTCAACAAAAAAGGCTGGGTTAAAATTTAAAGTGTAAATTTTGAACTTTTAATCAAACCACTGCATTGATAAATGGAAAAAACTGTAACAACTAGGAAGAAAAGGAATTTCCTCAACTGTTGGGGGCAAAATATGAGCATTTTTGAGTTGATTCAGAACCAGAATCTTTTTTTTTTTTTTTGCAAATCAGAAAAAAATGAAGAGGCGAATCCGAGAACCAACAACTTAAATTGGTGTGGCCTAAAGATGTTAAATGTATACATGTAGTAGTATACAGCATATTCTTAACATCCAAGTGTCAGAAAAATAATAAAATCATCGTTGTAGTACTTTTCATTAGAAATGAAACATAATTAGTTATTGCTGGCATTCTAGTTATTCTGTGTTATCGGTGCACCCAAAAAATTGTTTGTGCACCCAATATTTTAGGTTGGGTACACCGGTGCACCTACCGGTATTCCCAAAAAATGAATTTTGAGCCCTGACAGTAGTAATTTACCTTTTCCAATCTATGGTTTATTCCTTCCCTCCCAGGTAAGGTGAGCCAGGTGAGAGGAGACACAGGTGTAGTGGACAGTGAGGTGGTGTTCTGGCCACAGGTGTGTGTGGATGGGTACGTACCCTCCAGGGGAGACTGGGTGGAGGTGACAGCCATCGAGAGCTCACAGGGACACTACAACTGGAGGGCCACCAGGGTTACACCAGTCAGGAGACCTCCCAGAGACAGGTATCTGACTGTGTGTGTATTGGTATAGCAGGGCTCGAAATACTGGGTGCATGTGCACCTTAGTGCGGCAAAAATTGGAGCTGTGCACCCAATTTTTTTCTGTGGGTGCACCGGTGCACCCAAATATTTTTGTCTACAGGTATTTTTGTACATATGAAATGTATGATAGTACATGTACATGTACATGTATACAGGATAGTCTTGGCATCTACGTGTCAGAAAAATAAGTTATTGGATTTTAAAGTTCCCATTTCAGATTCAAGCTCAGAAGAGGGGCAGTCAAGATCTGTAATTATGTTTTGTTTTATATGGTGCACACGGAAAATTTTTTGTGCACCTTTTCCTTTAGGTTGGGTGCACCTATTCCCAAAAATGAATTTCGAGCCCTGTATAGCGACTGGCTTTGTGGGCATGTGGCGTTGCGGCAGCTGGCTACATTACTCTGTCATTACACCGAATGACTTGTTACACCTAACCTTTGCACAACCAACTCTAAACATTGTTTAAAGCTATATAAAAATGATAGTGCCCCTACTGTACTTGGTGACAGCGAGTTCCACTCTGCGATAGTTCTAGGAAAGAATGAGTTTTTCAACACCTCAATCCTTGGTTGATGACTCTGGTACTTGAAGGCTAGGCATGACTATTTCTTGTTCTTTTCTGAGATGATATAACATCTGTGTCCATAATATCACCATAGTCCATATTATCGCCACCTTGAGAAAAAGTGTGCTTAAAGATATTTTTACCGCAACATACCATAGGTATGTACATTTGATGTGTAAAGGAGTTCATACCAAAAGTATGTTGCAGTAAAAATAGCTTAAATCACACTATTTCTCAAGGTGGCGATATTATGGACCCTGGTGATATTATGGACACGGATGTAACCATATACCATATATTACTAGCTACCTAGTAGTTGACGCATCCAGCAGTTTATTATGCATTTTGTACATCATGCATAGTCTGGACATTTATCGTCTGTTTTCCATAGACACTGTAGGTTTCTTTTCATTTCCAGGTTATGGTAAAGACATTTGTGAAATGATATACATGTATATGAATTGTATATATACATGTAGTATTACACAGGTATGCAGAAAAAGTGCTTCAAACCAAATGTTTTTTTTCTGTTTTTTTTTTTAATTTTTTTTTCTCAAACTTTATTCATCAAAGGCAACATTACATTACATACATGTATATTACATAAATACAAAGTTTACAAGATACAAATAACATGTTTGTACATTCTGTTGTTTACTAGGTTGAAGTATGGAATGATTTCTGATTTGAAATTGTGTAAATGTTGTTGTCACATTCACTTCTCATGCTCTTCTCTGTCTCTCGTCTCAGAGGTCCAAGTAAACTGAAGTCTTGGCAGACACAGAAGGTGCAAGATGGCTGGGTCATACCAGGACAGAGTCCTTTCAGGTCAGTGTAATACTGGTGCACTTATCAGTGTTAAGCCCAAGGTGTTAAGCCATGTGGTGGGGTGGTGGGGTGGGGGGGCCTACACTATATAGTGATTACTGTTCCGGTGTATTGAAGTACATGTACAGGTATTGTAATTATGTATTTGTTTGTTTCGCATAACCAGTAAACCACCATTAATCATAACATTATCCAGTTTTGTATTGTACTAGTAAGTACAAGCTGCATAGGACCAGACTGTAAGGTTTGAACCACTCACACTGGGAAGGAGAGGACCCATACAGTTTTCGATACGTGTGGTGGGATCCTTACTGTGCTCAAGGTGTGGCTCTCCTCAAACACGGGGCCTCCAGCTTTTTGTCCCATCAGAGGCGATGTCCCTAACCACAGCTAGTAGGCACTCATTGTCACCAGACTTGAGTGAGGAAATGGGCATTAAGTGCATTTCCCAAGTGTGCAACACCAGGGTAGGGCTTGAAACACTGGGTGCATGTGCACCTTAGTGCACCCAAAATTGGAGCAGTTGTTCTCTGTGGGTGCACTGGTGCACCCAAATATTTTTGTAGGTATTTTTTACAAAAAAGTCATCATATGTATAGGCAGGATATTCTTGGCATACAAGTGTCAGAAAAATAATAAAATCTTAGTTGTAAGTTAGCCCCCACTTCGGATTCAAGCTCAGAAAAGGAGCAGTAAGATCTGTAATTAGTTTTTGTTTTATATGTTTTATATTAAAATTTTTTGTGCACCAATATTTTAGGTTGGGTGCACCAGTGCACCTATTCCCAAAAATGAATTTTGAGCCCTACCAGGGACTGAACCCGGAAACTTGAGTTAACAACCCTAACCTCAAGACCATCTTGCTACCTTAAGACTTAAGTGCCATATGTTGATGTGTGCTTGTCTCATGATCAGTATCTTATAACAGTACATACATGTACAACCCCCTTTCTTGCACGTACAGTTGTGTCATGTATATTCAACCCCTGGAGTTAACCATGTATTTTGCAGAAGAAAACCAATAAGGTTTCCAGTACACCTTCCCCAGTACCCTGTACCAGACATGCTGAGGAACTGTGTGTTTGAAGGTGGGGATGTCAAGAAGATCATGCCTGTACTGTCCAAGGTGAGTCTTGAATGTGAAATTTTTTGGATAGGTTTGCCAATATTAGTGTTCATATTTTAGCAAATGATTGGTAACCAAATAGAATGATATATAATATCATTACATGTATGTGACAGACTTTTGTAGAGTATTCCTCATATGTATAAATAAAGGACCCAGTGCCATACATTATATCTTACATCACATTTCAGGAAAAAAGTATATGATACATATGTTTACTTAGTATATAGTGGAAAGAGAGATTGGGAATGTGCCATATGTGACTCCCCAGCTAGGTTTTCTTGAATGGTAATTTCCAATACCCTAATCATGGTGGGCCTTTCTACATGATCTAATGCTGTGCCAATGCTATCCTGGACTATGACATGTTGTCTCTGTATGTAATTACTTTCATTATATTCTGTGACTGTTCCCGATACCACATGGCTTTACTGTAATCACCTAGTTCTTTCCAACATGCTGCAATGTTACTAAGTGATGCAGCAATGTTGGGGTGTACTGCGTTATCCCCATAGATAGCTTTCCTCATCTTCAGTGACTGTTCGTAATAACTGATTGCTTCCTTTTGTTTGCCAAATTCCCTCCAACAGTTTCCAATGTTGTTTAGTGATCCAGCAATGTTGGGATGTGGCGTTGTTTCACCATAGATAGCTTTCGTCATCTTCAGTGACTGTTCATAATAACTGATAGCTTTCCTCTTATCACCAAGCCCACTCCAACATGCCCCAATGTTGTTTAGTGATGTAGCAATGTTGGGATGTGGCGTTGTTTCCCCATAGATAGCTTTCTTCATCTCCAGTGACTGTTCATGATAACTGATAGCTTTCCTCAGATAGCCAAGGTCACTCCAACAGTTCCCAATGTTGTTTAGTGATGAAGCAATGTCGGAATGTGGCGTTGTTTCCCCATAGATAGCTTTCCTCATCTTCAGTGACTGTTCATAATAACTGATAGCTTTCCTCTGATCACCAAGCCCACTCCAAGATTTACCAATGTTGTTTAGTGATGAAGCAATGTCAGGATGTTCTGTTGTTTCACCATAGATAGCTTTCCTCATCTTCAGCGACTGTTCATAATACCAAATACCTTTCCTCTGATCGCCAAGGTCACTCCAACACATCCCAATGTTGTTTAGTGATGAAGCAATGTTGGGATGTGGCTTTGTTTCACCATAGATAGCTTTCTTTATCTCCAGTGACTGTTCATAGTAAGTGATAGCTTTCCTCTGATCACCAAGCTCACTCCAACATGTCCCAATGTTGTTTAGTGATGAAGCAATGTTGGGATGTGGCGTTGTTTCACCATAGATGGCTTTCATCATCTTCAGTGACGCTTCGTGATAACTGATGGCTTTTGTCTGATCACCAAGGTCACTCCAACAGTTCCCAATGTTTGCAAGTAATGCAGCAATATCTATGTTGTGATGCACTTTGGTGTCTTCATAACTAGTATTTCCAACACTAAGTGCCCGTTGGTAGTAAATGATCGCTTTCTCACAGTCACCACACATAAAAGTGACATGGCCTAATTCAAAAAGTATATCAAACTGTTTTTCCTCGTCACTGCCTGCCTCTTCCAGTGCTACATCCAAGTGCTGTACGGATGCATCAAACTGCAACAACTCTCCTGTCATTCTGCCTTTTGTTAGAGATGAGGTGTCAAAGATGGCTGTTGGGAATATCTTTGTTGTTGCATTTCCGTTTGCAACTGTATCTGCAAAGCATCTTTTTAGTGGGATTGCAGTATAGTAGTACCTAAACAGCATTTTTTTGTCTGGTATATAGAAAACTGACTGAACGAAAGTGTCATCTACATCATGTCTGTCCAGTTTGGAATTTTTCATCTCCGTGAGTGGAGACAGTCTGTCCTTCTGTCCTCCGTTGGCTATGTACGTTCTTAATCGCAGCTCCGCTGAGATGCTGATCAGTACAGTCAAGTGGTGAGCATCTTCGTGACTGATCCGCTGTGTCTTGTGTAACTCTTCTATCATTCCCCACACACTGGAGATTGTGATACCGCAGCAAATACTCAACACATCAATGGCCACGATGGGAAAACGGTAGATTTCTTTCTTGACATTCATAAGTTGTCCTGTTGGTTCAACATTTTTTATTAGCCGAATGTTATCCTTCAGTGTCAGAATTGCTGACAACTGTGACAACACAGGGGAAATATCTATGCTTTGGTTGATTCTGTCCATATATTCATTCACCAAAGACTCGTCTCCAGCTAAGTAGGTCACCCGTCTGAGGATGTCTGACAGATGATAGCCTTCCGCCAGGGCGATGTGCAGATGCTGGTATTCTGCCAACTTGGCAGGAGTCTGGATGAGACTAACGGGAGGCTTGCTTTTTGTTTTGTCTCTTCCAAACGGAGTCTTTGAAGCCCAAGGCATAAAACCGTCAAAGGTGAAGCCGCGAGGTGTGACGGAGTCATAGAACCAGTCTTTCGCTGGGTCTTCTGAGAGAAAGTTGTTGAGTGACGGGATGGCCATAGCTGGGAGGATGGTTTCTCCCAGGTTGATGACTTTTAGGTGTAAGTAGTGTGTGAGATTTAGTAAGTACCTCCTTGTATCATCATCATCCTTCCCTTCTTCAGTCAGAATGGCGAACTCCAGGTCGGAGTACGGCGTCACAAGTTCTGTGGCCTGTGACCCCAACCCGATGAAAGCGTACTGACAGGGAGGAGGTCCGAGTTTGGTGATGCATTCATCTGTCAGAACTTGGATAAACTCTCGTCTTTCAACTGTGATGCTCTTGAACAAGTTCTTGATTGCTTCAGCTCGTTTGATCTCTACCTCTCTCACAACAGGATCGTCTTCATCATACTGATAAGGGTTGTGTTCCTGATGAATTTTTTCGAGCTGAGATTTTGCACGGGCGCGCGAGTTGTCCAGTTCCTTTCTGTGATCTAACGCACTGCTATACGGGCATGGTTCACAGTCTAGGTTACAGGTATTTTTAAGAAACTGCCTTTCTGTTTCTTGCAGTTTCGTTACCGTGTTTTGTTTGTCTCCATCTGTTCTGGCCATGGAGGCGTTATACAGAGCTGCCGCCTGTGTGAATTTCCTACCTTCTCCTGTCCGCTTACCTCGCTCGACGTAGACGTCACCCAACCTGCACAGACAGTCGGCTTCTTTAGCCTTGTTGGGTTTACTGCGATCTGTAGGAAGGGAGTTAAAAAAATTAGAATTGACCAACTTCAACAGTTATATTTGGTTTGTTGTGTGATACATACTGTCACAACAACTGTCAACACTAACCACATTTACTTGTACTGCACGAGAGCCTGTCTTTCAGGGATTGCCTTTCAAGTCCCAAAGGAGATGCAGGGACTTCCCTGGACTTATGATTTATTTACTAAATGTAGTTATGACTGTGTGATATTTGTTTTTCAATTGGCTAAGATCACTATCAAAAATTATTAACTTTGAAGTATATAGCCATGTTTCAATTATTCAACATTTCATGATAGACAAAGTACTGGCTCTTTGAATTGTCATTACTAGCAGATATATACTGATTTGCCAAATTTTTAAAAATCCACTTTCTTCATCATAAGTTCTGCTGCAACTGCAACTTTAAACACTAGACAATAGTAATCATAGACAGACCATGAACAAGCTTCAGAGCAGCTGCTAGGTTCTGTTCTGCTGCGTCCAGATCTCCATTTTCACGGTCTGCCATTTGGATGTACCTGCGGTAGGATCTGGACAAAGAAACAAGTTTTGAAACAAAAGTAATGTACTTCAGAAACATGACAAAGGCAACTACTGTCACAGTGTAACAATACTATTAAGTGTTGTACAAACTCAGGCAATATTGTATGCTTTTCATCTATTTTACATGAATCTGTACAACCTAGTCTCAAACCAACATTAACACACAGTAGCATTTATATGTGTGTAATAAATACATTCCTGGCTGTACATGTACAATGTCAATGTACTCTGTATTTTCCAATGTAACCTAATCGATCGTTAGTATTCCTTTTACAAAACTGCATTTTTGCCTGAGGTTTAATATTTTGTCATAGTTTTATACAAATTAACAAATCGTCCCATATTCATCATTAGGCCACAACAAGTAATTTTTATGGATGACATCCACGCCTGATTTTGAAAAAAAAAAAGAAAAGAAAATTTTTTGCCCTCTGACAGTGGTCAACATGCCGAAAATCGGCAAAGATGTCTGTTGCCATGCCGGGAGGCAGATAACTGAAGAGAGGAGACAAGAAAAGGCTCTGATTTAATGGTTTGTTTCTTACTTTGATGCTGTGATATGTAATGCTGGCTGTGTATATGATGGTCACATTGAATAAAAACCATTTGTACAATGATTGAGTCAACATTTTAAAATGTAGGAACCTTGTTTTTTTCCGCCAGCCTTGTTTTTTTTTTGCCCTCTCACATTGGATTTGGAGTCGGCGGAGGATGTCATCCATAAAATTTACTTGTTGTGGCCCTAATGCATTTTTTGGATTGGAAACCAGCAACAATATGCAGATAACAATATGCACCTACATTGTAAATTAAATACATGTACATGAAAGAAACACAAATTAAAGTACTAACATGTCGTCGTCAACTTGACTGGTAGTTCTGCCGCTAGAGGGCGCAGCTGAGAAGGGAGAGAAGTGGCCCTTCCATCCTCTCACGTCTTGTTGTCGTTGCAAACGTGTTGGCCTCTGTCAGAACCAATAGAAAGTAGTTGTATATGATTAACAGGTGGTTATGTAAACCACAGAACAGCTTCGACCAATGGTCAAAGGTTAACGGCCTGACATGACCCGAGGAAGGACATTACATACAGCGTGCAAAATACCTGGTTGCCCAGTTAACCAAGTTTTTCTTGGGGCAATCTATTTTTGAACCCAGGTAGCCCAGTGTGCTACCTGAATTTTAAGAATGCCCCCCCCCCAAATAATGCCCACTTGGCTTGCACCACTGTATCCGGCAGATGCTTTTAATTTTAGGTATTAATGGCTATTAATGGCTGTTA